CCCCAAAACCCCAAAACCCCAAAACCCCAAAACCCCTTTAAAACAAACATGTATTGAATCGCAATAGTGTTACATAAATAATTTTACTGATTCATTAAATCCATTTTCAAGAAGAAGTTGTAATACCTTAACTTGCTCAACTTCACAGTGGTAAGCCTCAACTTGCTTTAGACTCTGTCTGAAATCAGGAGAAGTTGCCAGACCTTCAATTAGATTTGTGAATGTTTGTGGACTATCCTCCTTGTCTCCATTTTCATAAATCTCTGATCCTGATAAAATAAGAATATCAATATTTGTGCCTCTCAAAGCTTCCAGAAAGTTAGGTACAGCAGGAATTGAAATTTGGCATCAACGATACCCTAATTCGTAGACATGCTTAAAGGCATTCATGAGTCTTTTCAATTGGAGAGAGTTAATTCTGAATCCATAAAAATCAATTTCCTTCAAGACTCTGGGACTAATCCTTGTGATTGCATTCAAATAAAGAGACACATTTATGATACATTCACGTTCTGAGTAAATTGCAAGAAGATCCACTTCTTGAGGAAATGAGAGCTTTAAAAATTTAATGAAATACTTATTGCTACATTTCACATTAGATAAGTACAATCTGTTTGTATTAAATTCTTCAATAAAACTCAATTTTTTAATATAACTAAATACATTTTGATCATGTTCAAATAAATTTAGATCAATGTCTTTACTATCTATTCTGTATCCAGATTCATATTCTTTGACTTCTAGCTCTTTCGAAAAAGATTTGAAATAATGAGCAGCTGCAAGCATTAATCTCTTCTCTTTTTCTATCTCCAAGCTCCTACCTTCTTCTCTACATATCCCCATTAACTCCTCCACCCATCTCCCCCCCCTTTGACCCCAAATTCCCTTACTCCCTTACTCTTGCACTTGGCCCTTCTGGTCTTCCAAAATCTGGCTGGCACTCTCCATTTTATTTATATAATTTTCATCACGCAGAAGAGGCTTCGGGGTTTTGGGGTTTTGGGGTTTTGGGG